TACCTGTTGCAGTCAAGGTGCTCAACAAAGATGGACATCAAGGACACAGAGAATGGCTTGTGAGTTGCCACCTTGTTCAATATTCACTATGGTTGCTGATGTCTGTTATGTACATGGATACACGGAACGTTAACAATTACTCGTACAAGAACATGATATATCTTAATTATGTAAATTATGGAAAAATATTTGTTGATGCTAACTATGTATTTCACATCAATGGCACATGCAGCATTTAGTTGTACTCATGTTAACAAGTACGCTAGCAAATAAATACACCATTTCATCTTTCTTAGTCTGTTCCCTTTTTGGAATAGAAAATTTCTCAAGAAGCTACAATACATGGTTAGAATGATTCATTGGGCTTGTATCATGAAAAATGTGCAAACTTGATAGGTTGATGAAGGCTAAAGTATTAATTTCATTGGCCGAATGCATGTAGACTGAGTCATACTGTTAGATAGCATATTTCTTGAAAGTTTACAAACAGAACAGTGTATCTACACATGCTCAGAATAGGTGAAATTCTATTTATTTTTAAAAAGAGAATAAGCAACATTGTCCATAAAAGAAACATGATGCATTTAATTTGACGTAAGCAATTTTGGCAATTTTCGGGCATATTATTAACTTGGAAATCCTTACCTTTTCATTCTTGTCGTTATGTTATAAGAATTATCAGGAAGTAACTCATCTTTTGTTTCTTTGTCAGACTGAGGTTAGGTTCCTTGGGCAGCTAAGACATCCAAATTTAGTCAAGTTGATTGGGTATTGCTGCGAAGATGACCACAGGCTGCTTGTGTACGAGTTCATGTTTCGAGGAAGTCTAGAAAACCACTTATTCCGAAGTAAGAATCCAACTCCTTTTCATCACTTCATGATGATATCATGGCGGAATAGTTTCTGTGATCACACTTTTTAAATATATATTTTTCTCTCTATAATACAATCAAGCACCATAGCTGAAGTTGACCATATTGTGGATAATAGTGTGGATAATAGAGTCGCAACGTTGTTCTATTAAATATCGTTGATATGAGCAAATTGATCAGCGTTCTAAAACCTGGTCTGGTAGGATTTCATTTCAACTTGCTGTTCATATGGGGATTCCAAATTGTCCAGAGCTTTTTGACTGAACAACCGATTTAACTGTTCACTGCTAGACCCTCAGTAAGTTTAGGCCCTCTTCATATTTATCATTCTTGGAAAACTTTATTGACATGTTTTTAACAAGATTGTCCAAAGTGTCCAGTTAACCATCTGAACTATTTGTCTTGCCATAGCTAAATGCCATGATTTTCTTTGTTTGTATACTTAATAGAATCATTCGTGATAGTTCACTACCATGCATAGAGTATGCGAGCTACCCATACTTATCTGCTAAATATCTTCTGTATTTTTTCTTCCAAAATAAATGAATACTATTGAATACTGGCATGTATGATTTGAAATGTCGGCACAGTATTTCATCGATTCATTTGTAGGTGAAGTAAATTATATGCCAATACTGAATTAATGGCTGACTAAAGATTGTGCTCAACTATATTTTGTTCTTGTACATTGTGGTGAACTTGTATTCAAGATTAGGAAATTTTCTGACATTGTCTGTGCTTTTCCTTTTTCTTCTCAGGGACAGCTACTCCACTATCCTGGGCTACTAGGATGTCGATTGCATTAGGGGCTGCCAAAGGGTTAGCTTGCCTCCACAATGCTGAAAGGCCAATTATCTACAGGGATTTCAAGACATCAAATATTCTGCTGGACTCAGTTGAGTAGCATTTCTTGTCAATGTCTTGTTTTTTTTTTCCTTTCTCTTCTATGCTGTTGGGAATATGTAAATATTTTTCATAATAACATTTATCTTTTATTTACACTTACACAGGATTATACTGCTAAACTCTCTGACTTTGGTCTGGCAAAAGCTGGCCCAGAAGGCGATCAAACCCATGTATCAACACGGGTGATGGGAACATATGGTTATGCTGCCCCTGAATACGTGATGACTGGTACTGTCCTCGTTTTATCTTTTTTAAATTTTCTACATTTTTTTCTGAGTAGCGTTGTTACCCTTCATCAAAATGTGACCAGGTTATTTGTCAAAAAGAAAAGTTTACCAAGTAATATGCAAGTATGCAGTTTCTGTTTTGCCCTTGCAATTTCATCTGATGTATATATACCTATTGGGCAGGTCACTTGACTGCTAGAAGTGATGTCTACAGCTTTGGTGTTGTCCTTCTTGAACTCTTGACTGGGCGTAAGTCCATCGACAAGTCACGGCCCAGTAGGGAGCACAGCTTGGTTGACTGGGCCCTCCTGAAACTGAACGACAAGAGGAGGCTTCTCCAAATCATTGACCCAAAACTGGAGGGACAGTATTCAGTTAGAGCTGCCCACAAAGCCTGCAGCCTAGCATACTACTGCTTGAGCCAAAACCCAAAGGCGAGGCCTCTTATGAGCGACGTCGTTGAGACTCTTGAACCATTGCAGGGCAGTGGTGGAAGTGATGGAGCTGTTCAATCTGTTCTTGGCAGTGGCCTTCCGAGCTACAGAGTAAACCGCAGACTAACGACGAACAGCGTCCACTGTAGGGCGATTCCGAACCCCAAGTGCTCCCCTGCTGTCCCAGCATGCAGGGTGAGATGAGAGTGTGCTGTTTCAGTTGCTCCTGGAATAGGTTCAGTTGTACATTGCAAGTCTAAACCGTGGATGGTGCGTGAGTGTGCACACCTGCGCTGTGTGCTTTTGGGTTTTTTCTTCTTTTTTTTTTTGGCTTTCTCCCCAGTTTTCAACCTGTAAATTTGCTCTGCATGGTGGTGCTTGTAAGGCCCTCTAATTTTCACAGTGGTCTTATGTGTTGTTGACTGTGTTTGCTCTGCCAAAACCGGCAAGGTTTAACCCCAGAAATGAAAGGCTGAACTAAGAGTGGTTGGATGGTTGCTATGCTACTGAAACGTTGTCTATCATCTGTATCTTGTTCCATGAATTGCCTACTTTCTTTGTGCATTTTTTGTTGAGCTTTACTTTCTGATATTAAATTGCTGGTGTTATGTTTTCCTGACGTAGTGGTCATCTGTATTGCTGCTGTGAATCATTGTATAATTTGTTCCTATATACCTGTTCTATCATGATGCTATCAGTGTTTCTCGTATTCAAGGCTGCGTCAGTTTTGCACTCCAGGTGTTGTGTTTTCCCACGTCAACACTCTGTTTAAGATATGGAAATCACTCATTGTCTTTCTGTTATTTTATTGTATACAGAAACCAGTCATTATCTGTTCGCTCTCTTGCTTTTGTAATTAACAAGGAGCCCTCATTGTCTTATCATCTGTCATCCACCATGTTACTCCATTCCTAATTCTAAAGATGCCGACTCTGATGCAGCACTATGATAAATGTTTGGTCTCATCAGTCGGGACACTGATAACAAACAGCACTTTAGAGTGCTAAAATACAGTAACCATAGATTCCCCTTAATCTTTCAACTGAAAACTTCAGTCTAACTAACCATAATTTAAACCAAATTAATTAGCGGTTATTTTTCTGACTCTATAACCATGCATATACTGTCTGAAGTAGATTCAGAGATGGTTTTAGAATTAAGGCAAAAGATTGTTAAGCGTATGGCCACCTGTCTGTTAGTATAATGCTGCAGTAAAGAGTAGTAATAAGCATATATAGACAACAGTGGTAGTCATTTTCAGTCACTAAAATACATACACTCTTATTGTACTGTAATTCATGGTTCCCTTGAGCCATGGTCATCGTCACCATCATCACTCGCACTTGCGTCGAAGGAGTGATTAGGAGATGGTTATCGTGTGTGACGTGGATCAAGCCAGATAAGCATTTCAATGTTTTTATTTTTGAGAGAGAGCAGGGATAAGCATTTCAATTAGCAAATGAAAGGTGTCTGCTATAGCTTTTTCTGCAAGGACAATAATTAATGAATCTGAAAGTGTGTCGTCCTTGGAAGGAAGATGGAAAGGAAGAACCACTCATTAATCAAACAAGTGTCACAAATTGGATCACTGACTGCCTGACTGGACAGGAATGTTGGTGCATTATCATGTTATAACTAAAAGATGCGTGAAAATCAGTGAGCAATCATAGAAAAATCATCAAGTGCACTGTTCCATTGTTGACAAGAAAGGTTTTTCCTCACAAAATAATTAAAACCGTATCCTTCCAAGTTCCAACATACAGGACAATCTCTGTGGGATGTGACTTGGTTAATTATCCAGTTACATCTAGAGAGTTAGCGAAAATCGGCTGTGCATGACAAGATCACAAATTAATTTGGAGAACAAAGAATGAATTAAACTAAGTTCATAAAAAGAAAAATAATCGTGCATATCAAAATATTCAGAAGAGCGAAAAATACAAGGATCAGATGCGAAAAGGGCCAAGGTTGCATTGCAAACCATATTAGTTTGCTGGTGTCCTGGTGATATATGCAACTTTAGAGAGCCAGCAAATGACGTATCTCTACCTAAAGAAAGATATTCCCCTTTGGTATTGACACAAAGGAACATCAATCGCTCTCATTTAACTGGCACGCACAACGGTTGCTTCATCTTCAACTGCTAATTAACTTTCTGAAACGCTGATGCTTTTTAATCCTCTTCTTCCCCGGCCCATGCATATTCTCTCTGCTTTAATGGTGTGAAATTTCAGAACAAGAATCTAGTTTCCGCATACAGAGTTCCAGAAATTTCCGACTGTTCATCTCATCGATCATCCGCGATTCTTTTTTTAGTTTTTGATGGTGATCAGCCACACCGCTAGCTAGTTGACACATGTATGCAGTAGCAATATTTGTTAGCTGAAAAGGAAGCAAGGAGGAAAGCAGCAAATCAGCTTTGTTGCCAAGCTGCTTGGCAGGTCACATTTTTCATTTCCGAGTTGATTAATTTGCAACCATCATGCATCAATACAATTACTATTTAAGCATATTAGTAAAATTGTGTGAAGTTTTTTTTTTCAATTAAGCCATGTCATGTGTGGGGGCGTTACCTTGCAGACTATATAAATATGAGTGAAATTGACTTGAGGCGTCGAGTTGCCTTATTGCCAAACAATAGTACTATTCATTAGTAGTATATCTGACCCAAAACCCAACCATTTTTCCCCCTTTGCGTTGCATCTCAGTGTTCTTCCATTCTTTCCAGAGAGACAAAGTAATTGACCATGGCAAAAGATCCTCATGTCTCCATCTCTCTCACCGGCCTCGCCATGGTCGTCCTCCTCATCTTCAGCTCCTCCTTCCTCCAGGCCGCCCAAGGTACGTACACACCTTCATCTTCGCCTGCTTCATCATGCATCTTGGTGATCCTTCAAGTCGGTTCTGACTTCTCAATTGATATTCATGCATGCAGGATCAGACAAGAAGATGGCAATGAAGTACGACGTGCCGGTGAAGAGGCTGGTGTACCGGCCGTCGGCGATGCAGGCGGCGGTGATCGGCACGGAGGCGGCGGCGTACGAGCCGTTCGAGCTGTGCATGGGCTGCCGGTGCTGCGCGTCGTCGAACGCGAGCAGCTGCGTGGACACGAGATGCTGCTACGCCATCGACTGCAACATCCCCGGCAAGCCCTTCGGCGTCTGCGCCTTCTCTCCCCACACCTGCGACTGTGGTGCCACCAACTGCACCAGCCAACAGCAGCCATGACCACACACCTCTTGCTGCTGCTAATTCAATTCGATCTCTTCCATGATCAATATACTTATGCGCCTGAATCATTCAACTGTTTTCTGATGCGATTGCAAACGTATTAAGTTTTTTCAGAGATTCTTGGGACTTAGATATCCTGACATGAGCATGTTGATCTGAAAGTTTAACTGCATATAGAATCTTCAGAAAGGGATTAATTCTTGATCTACCAGTTCCACAAACAATTTATTCGTGCTTTAAATCTGGATTTGCATTCTCTCTTATCAGAGAGTAATTAATTTGAGGGTCTGATCTGATTAATTGCTGTAGAACCCACTTTGATGTATGGATATGGCTGTGCTGCCTGTGCAGACTACTAGCTAGACTGTAGAGAAAAGGCGGCTGTTTTGTTTGACTATTGCAGGACTAGCACCTAACACTGTTGTTGTTTGTATCCTGTTCTTCCTTTTCAAAGCCTACGTGCCAAATACATGATCAGCATTCAGCAAGGTGGATGGTCTAGAAATCAAGTTGGGCAGTCACAGGCCGGCACACGCTTGATTTGACAATCACTTGTTAGGTGGAAATGCAAATGAATTGTAGGTACAAACCCACAATGTTAGTAGCTTAATTAGCTCATCAGCTAAACGCCTAAACCTACTCTGAATTAACTTGAAGTCTGAAACGTACGTGATCGAGGGTACTCATTTCAGCACGATTAAGCACACAGCAATCAAGGTGCTTATATATAAGATGAAGATACTCTGTCTGCCTGTCTGTAAGTGCCAGACATGCAACTCGATCATCGCCCTAGAAAACACATCTCTGTCAGGCCTGAGCAACCACTGTTGTTTTGCAAATAAAAATTTCAGATTCTCCTTTCTCCGATGATGCAGCATTGGTTTCACTGATCTGAAACTAGCTACGAGGAATGGTTAGCTTTGTCTAACAACTTCCTTCTGTTTGAGCTTTGGGTTTGCAGACAATCATGTATTCTATGGTCGCCGGGATCGCCACGGATCAACCGGTGCAGTGCTCTACGTACAGCACACTATATATATTGCAAAATGGATACGGCGTTTGTTGGAAAAATATTTTGTAGAAAACACATATATAGTAAAAATTTGGAAACTACCGTTAAAACTAAAACTGAACACCTGAGATTTATACACATCATCGAGAGTAAAATTTTACTCCCAGACAATTTTTTTACTCTCGATAACGCGGACAAATATTATGCGCCTATTTCATAATTCAACGGTAGCTTATAGGTTTTCACTATATTTCTAGTTTGTATTACATATTTTCAACCCGATGGTGAGTTGTTCCAAGCTGCTCCTCTGCTTTTTACTACTCCCTGTCAATAGGTTAATTAAGAGAGACATAACTCAATGTCAAAACAAGCTTACCAACCTCAATAACAACTAGGAAAAAGTACACCAAAGGTCCCTCAACTTGTCATCGAGTTACAGAATCATCACCTAACCAGATATATGATATCTCTAACTTAGAAAACTGTTCACTTTAGGTTCTTCGATGGTTTTGACCCCGGTTTTATCCGACGTGGCAGCTGAGTCAGCGTGGACCCATGTGGGCCCCACATGTCAGGGTGTCCACGTCACCTTTCTTTCCCTTCTCTCCCTTCTTTCTTCCGTCTCTCTTGCTCTTCTCACTCGCGCCGAACACGTTGTGGGAGGCGCGGCCGGGGGCGACGCCGAAAGGCGAAAGAGGACTCCGCAGAGGCGAGGGTGGACTCGACGTCATCGACGCGGCCAGCGCCGAAGAGCGCGGAGAGGAGCGCCGAGAGGGAGACGTTGGAGCAGGCAACGGGCGCGGAGTCGGAGAACGCGCGGAGGGCGTTGTTGGGGCCCGAGAAGAGGGAGATGGCGCGGGTGAGAAGACCAGGGGACGCCAGGGCGGAGTCGAGGAGGGCGCAGAGGAGCGAGACGGCGAGGTCTAGGCGGCGGAGGCGCGGGAGACAGGACACGGCGAGGGAAAAGAGCGGGCGGGAGCCGTGGAGGCACGGGTAATCGTCGGGGCGGGAGAGCGTGGTGGCGACGAGGGAGTGGATGCGGGCCAGATCGGCCTCGCCGCAGACGGCGAGCTGGAGGTCGAGGATGGAGGAGCACGTGGAGGCGGGGGTGGGGGTCGAGGTGGGCAGCGGCGGGTGATCGACATCGGGGAGCGCGGAGAAGCGACGGAGGAGGTGGGCGGGGACGCTAGCGGCGAGGAGCGGGTTGGGATGGCGGCGAAGGAGGGAGACCATGGTTGAGACTTGAGAGGAATGGGGGTTTGGGAATTGGGATCTCCCCTCTTTTTTCTCCCTTCTCTAGGGGAACTCGTCAAGGAGGGCGAGGCCATGGTGGCAGTCACCTCCTCCCCTTCTCCTGTCGTTGGCCGCCGACGCCCTCCTCCGCAACTGCCGTCTCCCCTTCTCCCGCGTCGCCGCCACCGCCGGTCGCCCGTCGTCGGCCGTCGACACCCTCCTGCTCTCCCGCCTCACCCCGCGGCCTCCTCTCCACTCGCCGTCCGGCCTGCAGAATCCCAGTGAGAAGAGTGAGGAGAGAGAGGAAGGGAGAGAAGAGGAGAAAGAGGGAGGGTGATGACGTGGACACCCTGACTTGTGGGGCTCACATGGTTTACTCAGCCGTAACGTTGGATAAAATTGGGTCAAAATCACTAAAGAATCTAAAATAAAATAAATGGTTTCGTAGTTGAGGGGTATCGTATATAGTTTTGTGGTTAGAGGATGATTTTGCAACTCGATGACAAGTTAAGGGACATTCGGTGTACTTTTTCCTAACTGCTATAGTAGGGAGCTTTTAGCCCATCTGCATATAGTGGCCTGGCCCACGTTAGGCCTGTCCATTAGTATGGGCCTTAGCCCTTCCTCTTTACCGAAAGCTTCACCTTTTGAATTGAGCCCATATGAACAATAAGACACTATCCATGTTATTTCCTTAAAGATAATAGAATTCATTTTAGTCTTTACTTTTTTAAAAGAAACTATAACCAATTATATAGAGGTTACAGAACGAACGATCATGAATTACGAAATTATAGCTTGATTTAAAGGAATAATTAAAATCGCACCATTGATGTCTATACATTTCAATCTTTAATTTCTCGGCACAGTCGCATGCACTCGCGTTGCCTCCCAAAAAGCTCAAACAGTTTTTGATTTCGACATGCATAGATACAAGTTGTGGACAACTTATTCAGGTACAGTGCTTACGTAGTTCAAGATTTCTTTATGACCTGCTTTTTTTCTTGTTAATTATGGCCTTAATTTGATACTAGTATATATCAAGTGGTTCGCAACGCAAGCAAACTAAAGTTGCAATCACGCGGGAAAAGCAGCAATGCTGAAATAGCTAGCTAGTTAGCTTTCACAATTCTGAAACTATTTTCTCCTCTTCTTCTGTTCATAATGTACGGACACGACTGTGAGTGTCAGAGTGTCGGCACAACAATTTGATTAATGATGCATAGGAGAATGTTTTATGTTGAGCATGTAAATTGTTGAATACTTCCAGTCGGAGAATGTTTGATGTTGAGCATGTAAATTGTTGAATACTTCCACATTAATATGCACGTAGTATGGGATTAAAAGCAACACAATGGAAAACAAATTTCGGTATGGTATATCCTTCCCCATATGTCTTGAGAATATGAGATAAGTTTAGTTAATTAATTAATTTGGTTTTACAGATGGAATAAAATGAAAATATACGTTAATATTTGCATGCATGGGTTATATTTGAATTATAACCTGTGAAACAGAAAAATAACTTTTTTTTAAGTACATAATAATAGGATCTACTATGGGTTTAATGGATTCGTGCCGGCCGGTTTGCGCAAACCGGCCCAGTTGCCCCCGGGTAGCCTACGCGTTGTAGGCTTGCAACTTTTTGCGAGTTGGACTAAAAAATTGGCTTACAGCTTTTACCCCACCTGGCCCATATCCAGCACACATACCTTTAAAAATTTCTATATATAAAGTTTTTATACAGAAACTAAGTTTCTACTAAAACGTCGTAGCTAAATCAGAATTGGATGTGCCCGCGTACGTGCATTTTGAAAATGTTTCTCAAGGAAAACTTTGTGTATAATAAAGTTTCTATGTGAAAAAATGTTTTTGTGTATAATAAGAAATGTAAATACGTGCTCCTGATAGATTCACTTAAGTGACATGCCCACGCATTAGACTTTTACTAATAGAGTGCGTATGACACGATAGTCATTAAGTCTTTTTTAAAAATTCTTTTATTCAGTTTTATCTACAACTAAAATCTAATGCTGACTTTCCTCGGAAAACAATCGAGACTTTTCAGTTTTGCTGTTCTGGAGTTGTACGCTTCCTCTACAAACGAAATGGAGCCAATTCTTCTGCCTGTTTTCTTTTTCGCGAACGCTGCCTGTTTTTTTTACTAGCCCCTAAAATGGATGATCAATCGTACCAACAAAATAATACTTCCCCCGTTTCAGAATATAAGTCATTTTAGCATTTTCTACATACATATTGATGTTAATGAATCTAAACATATATATCTATTTAGATTCACTAACATCAATATGAATGTGAATAATGCTAGAATGACTTACATTGTGCAACGGAGGGAGTAAACCCTAAGGCACGTTATTGCATCATCGACAATTAATCATTATTATATTATGTCCGACTCGTTACATACGACAGATGATGTGATTAATTAGAACTGCAATTTGCAAAATAACAATTACCACATCTTTAACGTATTCTTCCATTTAAGTAGCTTAGTTCACTAATTGTAATTAAGCGCTAACTAACCATTTGGCCAGTGTACTGGTAATTACTAAATTAAGGAGATTATGATCAAGTTGTAAAAGGATCCAATAAAACGATTACTTATTAGAACTCTAATTAACCTGTTCAACCTAACCTTGTCATTATTTTGGTTTGGAGTTTGTGTTGTCTAGCGTGATTAATCACGCGTGTAATGTGCGAGAGCTGCAACTTAACGAATCTTGTCTCGTTGTCATTGGCCAGAGTCAGAATTAAACACAGACGTGCATTTGGGTTTTTGCTGTGTTAATTTGTCATAAGATTCACCAAATGGTTCAATTCTCACTTTTGCTCTGTTCACGAGTCTGTCTCTTCCATAGCTCATGAATGCCAGGGCGGCAGGGCATCTTCATCTCATTCATCAACTGACGAAAGTAGTACGTATGATCAGTCGACCAAATTGTTTGCAAATCTTAATTTGGGGGTAATGTAGTTCATGCCTATACCTATATTCGCTTTTCACTAGATATTTCAGAGAGAGAGAGAGAGAGAGTGATTTAGAGGGAGGGGCATTCCTCTATACATTTTTTAAAAAAGGAAATTGTGATTGTGTTGGGGATTGAACACGGGACCGTAGTGTTGAAACTACATACTCCTTACCACTGCACTGCCAATTGCATCTCATTGGATATTTCTGTTATTCAGAGATGGAATACAGAATTGTGTCACTAGTATCATTTGCATATCAAATTATCAATGCCAAGTTGCAGTGCCAACTTTTGTATGTGCAAGCAACAGATCTTGGCATAAATCATCACGAGGAAGATAATATTCCAAGTTTCGCATTCTGAAACCTAGATATATAAATGTCTGTAACTTACTAGCTTAGGCCGGTGGTTGTCGAATAAATTAATTCTTTGTTGAGCATCGCAAGGGAGTGTGTGGGGTATGATGAAATCAAATTCATGGCTAGGAATATATAGGACTTAGGAGGATCCTTCCATGGCCAAATTGTGCATTGTCAGGACATGCTTTTCATAGCTGTAGATGGAGCTTTCATCCATGTTTTTCAAAGAGCAATTAGCAAGCAAGACAGGATCCAAGACCACAGAATTGGATTAAGCTACGGCCACTAGCGAATTGGCCATGCATTCATATGCGAAAAGCCAGCGTTTTGTTGACTGCTGTTGAGATATTGTGAGCAATTAACCAGATCGATGTTGCGCATGCGTGACTGTGACCTTTCTAGTAGGAACTCCACTTCACCCACCCACTAAAGCAAAATTACTTCTTTTTTTGGTTTAGCAGAATCTTGGGCTTTAACAATTGCACGAGTAATTATTCCAAGCGGTTACTGATTACTGGGCAAGGAGATATCAGCAGCGTGCTTGGGGAAATAATGAGATGTATGCTAAGATGGACACAGAAATGGAGAGTAGCCTAGTGCAAATGAGTGACATTGGACTATTTATATAAAACAAATGTTCTTGTAGGAAGATGAAATGGATGGTAGGAATCGCAAGAAATTAAACTTACGACATCTGGAAAGATTAATTGGAAGTTTCCGACACTCAATTGCACCCTACATAACAGTTAGTGTAGAATGGAATGGGGAGAACACCACACACCCAATGGGAGGGGTGGCCATGTATTAATATAGGAAGCACATGTACAGGATCCTCAATTAGAGGAGAATACAAGGAAAGAAACAATACAATACAATCTGTACATATATGGCAAAGTATTCCTAATACCCGCCCGCAGTCACAGCGGGAGGATCACGGATGCAAAGGCTGGATCGAAAATCTGTAAATAACTGCACAGGCAAGCCCTTGGTCATGATATCGGCGAACTGATGCGTAGATGGAACATGGAGCACACGGACCTGTCCCAGAGCCACCTTTTCCCGAACAAAGTGGATGTCGATCTCAATGTGCTTGGTGCGGCGGTGGCGAACCGGGTTGGCGGTCATGTAGATAGCACTGACGTTGTTGCAAAAGACAATGGTCGTGGTGGAGATGGGAGCATGCAACTCCTGGATTAGCTAGCGGAGCCAACAGCACTCGACAACCGCGTGAGCAACGACACGATACTCCGCTTTAGCACTGGAGCGGGAGATCGTCGTCTGTCGCTTGGAGGACCAAGACACCAGGTTATCACCGAGGAAGATGCAGTAGCCTGAGGTGGAGCGACGAGAGTCGGGGCAGCCGGCCCAGTCTGCGTCGGAGTAGGCGGTCAGAGACCCGACCGGACCGGTGCCGATGTGGAGGCCGGCGGAGAGTGAGCCCTTGATGTAGCGCAGGATGCGTTTAACCAAGGCGAGTTGAGGCTCGCGAGGGTCATGCATAAAAAGACACTTGTTGAACGGCATAGGCGATCTTAGGACGGGTGAGGGTGAGATACTGGAGGGCACCGGCGAGGCTCTTGTACTCAGTAGGATCGGCAACGGGGGCACCCTCCGAGGCGGAGAGCTTGGCGCGAGTATCGACTGGGGTGGCGGTGGGGTGGCATTCAGACATGCCGGCTCGCTGCAGGAGATCGACGGCGTACTGTAGCTGGGACAGGAAGAGGCCGTCGGGTGTGCGACAGACGGAGATGCCGAGGAAGAAGTGGAGGTCACCAAGATCCGTCATGGCGAACTCGGTGTGCAACCGAGCCGTGATGTGGCGAAGAAGCTCAGCGGAGGAGGCCGTGAGGATGATGTCGTCGACGTAGAGCAGCAGGTAGGCGAGGCGATCACCGTCCCGGAGGATGAAGAGCGATGTGTCGGAGGCCGATGGCGTGAAACCCAGCTGACGAATGTATGTAGCGTAGCGAACCATTGGTACCAAGCTCGAGGCGCTTGCTTGAGGCCGTAGAGGGAGCGCTGGAGGAGGCCCACAGCATCGGGAGCAACGGGGTCGATGAAGCCGGACGGCTACTGGCAATACACCGTCTCGTCGAGGGTGCCGTGGAGGAAAGCGTTCTTCACATCAAGTTGATGAATCGGCCAGGAGCGGGAGGTGGCGATGCTGAGGACGACACGAATGGTAGAGGGCTTGACGATGGGGCTGAAGGTCTCGTCGTAGTCGATGCCATGTTGTTGGGAGTAGCCACGAACAACCCAACGTGCCTTGTGACGGGCGAGCGAGCCATCGGAGTGGAACTTGTGCTTGAAGATCCACTTGCCGGTAATGACGTTTGCACCAGGTGGGCGAGGGACGAGCCGCCACGTGCCGTTGTTGATCAAAGCCTTGAACTCTTTGGCCATGGCTGCACGCCAGTTGGGGTTGGCGAGGGTAGAGCGGTAGTTGGCCGGCAGTGGAGAAATGGCCGAGAGCACGACTCGATCCACTGGCTTGAGAGAACTGGTCTTGGAGCGTGTCACCATGGTGTGGACCTGTGGGGGAGGTGTGGGTGCAGCCGGAGCGACAACTTGGGGCGGAGGAGTCGGCGCCGGTCATCGTTGGTAGTGGTACGGGAATGGCGCCACTGTGCCGGCTGGTCATGAAGAAGACGTGGACGGCCGGATAGCTGGTGACGACGGTGCCCTGCTTGAGGAAGATGGAGACATGGCAGCCGGCTGTGTGGAACTTGCCGTCGTCCCGCCCGTAGTGTGATGCGGCTGCACGTAGTAGGGCAGGTGCTCGTCCTCAGCCAAGGGAGCACCCGTGGGCAGCCACTGCTCGACGTTCACAGGGAATGGAGCGTGCGGCAGGTGCGGCTGCTCAACACCAGCTAGTGGTGGAGCGACCACAGAGGGAGCAGGAGCATCCTGCAGTAGAAAATCCAAAGAGGAAGCATCGACGAGATCTCCCGAAAATGGAAACTGTGTCTCATCAAAAATGACATGGCGCGAAATAATGATGCGGCAGGTGGATATGTTGAGGCAGCGATAACCTTTGTGCGAGGAGGGGTAGCCCAAAAAGACGCAAGCAGCGGAGCGGGGTGCAAGTTTGTGGGCAGCGGTGGCACTAAGGTTAGGATAGCATAAACACCCAAACGCTCGTAACATGGAATAATTGGGAATCTTGCGATGAAGAAGCTGGAATGGGATTGAGTTGTTTACCGAGGACGAGGGTCGACAGTTCAGGAGGTATGTGGCGGTGGCTAGACCTTCGGCCCAATAGGAGGGTGGCATGGAGGCTTGTAGGAGGAGGGTACGGACGGAGTTGTTGAGGGTGCGAATCATGCGTTCGGCCTTGCCGTTCTGCGGGGAAGTATATGGACAGGAGAGCCGTAACAGGGAACCTCTACCAGCGAGAAAGGAGGTGGTGTTGTGATTAACAAACTCGGTACCGTTGTCGGCTTGGAGACACTTGAGGCGGTGGCCGAACTATGTGTGGGTATACTCAACGAACTCAACAATATGGCGATGAACATCGGATTTGTGGCAAAGAGGAAACGTCTAGCAAAAATGAGTAAAATCATCAACCAACACTAAATAAAATTTGAAGCCTGAAATGCTCATAACGGGAGAAGTCCATACATCACAGTGCACAAGTTCAAAAGGAGAAGAGGTACTGGAGGTGGACTTATTAAAAGGAAGACGAGTGTGTTTCCCTAACTGACAAGCATGGCAAAGGGAATTATTTGTCTTGGAGCGAGGTATGGCGGATAAATGTTGGAGAGTGGTGACGGCGGTTGGACCCGGATGACCGAGGCGGCGATGCCATAACGTGGAGGAGGTGGCGAGGTTGCAGTGCGCTGCAATGGAAGGTGCAGCGGTCGGGAGGGTGTAGAGCTCGCCATGGCTATTGCAATGAAGAATCACGCGCCGGGTCCGAGGGTCCTTAATAGAAAAACCAAACTCGTCAAACTCAATGGAACATTTATTGCCACGAGTAAATTGGCGAACGGAGAGTAAATTGCGAACCAAAGAGGGAGCAACAAGAACATGACGAAGGTCAAATCTAGTGGTGCCAATAGGGAGAAAGGAAGTGCCACGGCAAACAACCGGAATGGAGTGACCATTACTAACGGTAATATAAGTTTGTGAGTTGGGGAGGCGAGTAACGAGTATACCGTCGGTGGAGGACATGTGCGAAGTGGCACCCGTGTCGAGAACCCACGAGTTGGGGTTGTGAAGCGTTATTCCATTGAGAGCGGCGACAAGGCTGGCTTGGTCCCAAGCCGGCTGGACAGACCCTGCAGACGGTGGCGAGGAGTATGGCCCGGCGAAGGTAGTGTGAGCCTGAGGATACGGCCCAAGTATCTCGGCGCTGGGAGCACGCCAGGGTTGCTGCTGTCCTGCCTAGGGCGAGAAGCACACCCATGGTGCAGCTTGGCATGGAGCAGGGGCAGAGAAAGTGCTGGTGCCAAAGCTGTTGCTGCCGTTGTTCTGTCCACCAGGGCGTCCGCCGAATCCACCGCCGCCGTTGCCGCCGGAGTTGCGGTTGTTGTTGTGGCCGCCGTTCTTGCCCTTGTTCTTGCCGCTGTTGCCGCCGCCGGCGCAGTTCTGCTGCTGCCCACCGCTGCCAGAGGAGTGGCAAGTGCCCCCGGTGCAGTTGGAGTGGGCGTTGTTGGCTGCGACGAGGGCAGTCTCGGACTGGACTTGTACCGAGTTGGCGTTGCGAAGCTCCTTGAGAACTAGTGTGTTCCTCGCAGAGGCGAAGGACGGCAAGACAGGGGCGCTCGCGATGTTGTCGGCCGTGCTGGTGAAGCGCGAGTTGACGCCGCGGAGGAGGTTGAGGACGAGCTGGGACTCGGTGACGGGGTGGCCGACGTCGTGGAGGGCATCAGCCACCGTCTTCATGCGCTGACAATAGTCGGCGACGGAGAGATCGCCTTGGGTCATGGAGTGGAACTCGTGATGCAGATAGATCGCGCGAGGCTCCTTGTTGGCTTGAAAGAGGTTGTCGATGGTGATCCACAAGTCCTGGGCCGATTGATTAGGCTCCATGGCGAGGTCGAGGACATCGTCGGCGACGGAGCCGAAGAGCTAGCTGCAGAGGCAGCAATCGGCCTGTTCCCAGGCGGCGTCGGGGTTGGTGGGAGGAGCAGCGTCAAGATGATCGAGGAGACCGAATTTCCCACGCATCGAGCGGAAGAAGGCCTTCCACTTGTTGTAGTTGGGGTTACGAAGCTCGAGGGAGATCGGAACATGGGACTTGACGGCGATGGTCACATACGGGTTGACGAAAACCGGGGCGACGGTAGAGGTGGAAGATGACACCGTAGCGGAGTCGGTGGCAGCGGAAGTAGCCGAGGAAGTGGATATGGTGAGGGAAGTGGGGCGCGGCAGCCAGGGAGGCGGCGATGCTCGGTGGACGCAGCGACCAGAGAGGAAGCAGCACTAGAGCAGCGGAAGAGGAGAAGAAAACTTAGAATCTGATACCATGTAGAATGGAATGGGGAGAACACCACACACCCAATGGGAGGGGTGACCATGTATTAATATAGGAAGGACATGTACAGGATCCTCAATTAGAGGAGAATACAAGGAAAGAAACAATACAATACAATCTGTACATATATGGCAAAGTATTCCTAATAGTTTGTACTGACCAAATCAAGTCAGTGTGGTCATATGCATGCAGGCATGTTGGAGTAAAAAAGAAATTAATTGTCAGTATAACAGCGTGTGCATTGACTGAGTAGTTGCAATTTACCCAAGTATTGTCACATTGTGACAATCACAAGTAGTAATGACTAATTAACAGTGGACCAAATTAAACCGTGTTCCGCGGCTCATTCCTTAATCTGAAGCTAGCTAGGTAAGGTTGTTCTTCCTTTGCAGGCAGGCAGAGGAATATATGGCACATTCAGAAAGGTGAGATCGATGCCACGCATTCATGCAGACACATCAATAGATAGATAGATAGATGTACACGCACGATCGACTCACACACACGGTTCAAAGAGGCACATCCATTCATCAGTCGAAGTCTGAAAAGGAATCATCAGTCGTTGCTGCATCATATCATATCATCGGTTATTCAGAGACCAGAGGAGTATATATAAGCAGGTGAGGCCGGCAATGACGTGGTCAGCACTGACGAGTCGAGCACTACATCTCTCGTCCAACGCCAAACTCTCTCTCTCTCTCTCTCTCTCTCTCTGCAGATAGATAGGTAGATCCGATCGCGGCGAGGAAGATCGATGAGTCGGATACACCCTTCGTATCAACGCCAAGATGCCGCCGCCGCCGCCGCCTCAACGGCAGCGCCGCGAGCGGCGGTGTACACGGTGTGGAAGAGGTCCAGCATGGGGTTCCAGGGCACCGACGGCTTCTCCGTCTACGACGACGCCGGCAGCCTCGCCTTCCGTGTTGACAACTACTCGCGCCGCCGCAAGCTCTTCTCCGGCGACCTGCTGCTCATGGATGGACATGGCTCGCCTCTCCTCGCCCTCACCCCACAGGTACACTTGTCTCTGATCTTCTAGTCATTCATGATTCATCCACTGCAAAAATCTTGCATTTGCATCTCAGATTAATTAATTAATTAATTAATTACCTCCTATAGGCTATATTCATGCATCTTTGTCTTTGTGATTGTATACTAGTATTACCTAACACCTGACAATCAGTATAATATTTACGTACGGTTTCGGTCGATATATTGAGTTAGCTATTAGCATTCATGAACGATCGTCGATCGATCATCAATTCTTCATACATTCAACCAGCAATCGTTTATATTCTGCTCGTCAATCATCCTCATCCGAATGTAGACTTCATTTTACATATCTTCTCTCAAGATATAGAACGATCACCAAGTTTGCTTCCAAAACTTCACTGAAGACTTCTAAATACTGCAAATCCTGCTTTGCCGAGAGCCCCGAGACTAGTGTTTCGTCCATCTACCCGATCTTTCATCTTCTCGATTTTTTTAAAAAATGTATCTCCAGGCTTTCACTGTTTCCTCAAAATATTCACCAAATCACAAGTATATATGTTTGTCTTGTCTATTTGTCTCACAAATACTAAAAGATACCATAGCTCACCAAAAAGATTTAAGGCAAATTATCATGCATGCCGACGGTTTTTAGGCAAATGCTATCAACTACCTCCACTAATACATCTAGCTAGGAAAATAATTAGTCTAAACACTTGCAGACAAAATCAGCTGACCAAAGATTAAAATTCATTGCTTTCATCGTTCCAGCCTCGGTTATTTTGATGCTGTTCTGCTTTAATTTGCCCAAAATCCCATACAGAGTTAAAAACAAAACTTAAAAAATGGAGAAGTTACATACAGAGTTTGATTTATCCGCTAGTTCATTCTACTTTCCGACTGAAGTTCTTTTACCTCTTGTTACAAGTGCAGCAGATGGGCCAAAAGAACAGAAACCATTAATAGAACCCATGGGGAGTAAGTAAGAACTAAGATTTTTATTTTCCTTTCTGCTGTTGCAACAGATTATCAGCATGCATGACCAATGGAATTGTTACAGAGCGTCAGAAGAAGGCCAAGGCAAGAGGGCAAGATCACAACAACTCTTCTCAATGAGAAAATGCTCAGTTATGCAAAGCAGTCATGAAGCAGAAGTGCACATGTCAGGATGTACCCATGCGTCGTCAGATCGTACTGGCCATGTTCCCGCCTTCTCAATCGAGGGCAGTTTCAAGAGAAGAAGCTGCAAGATCCGCAACAGCGGCGGTGAGGAGGTCGCAAGGATAACGAGGAAGAAAGCTGGAGCAGCATCATTGTCACTGACTCTTGCTGAAGATGTTTTCAGTCTTGAGGTCCAACCGAATGTAGATTGTGCGATGATCATGGCTTTCGTCATTGTTCTGGATCGGATCTGCTGGAAGCCATACACACCTATGATCTGTTCTTCATAGTTCAAGGTGATGAGCTCTATTTGACATGTAGGAAATAGATGTTTCAATTCAAGTGAAATCGACGAATTAACTCAAGAAGCTAGTATGAGACTGTAGTCACTAATTGTACTGTCGATTGACTGGGACTAACATAACATGTAACTTGTTCTAAATTTGACTACTTATGAAAGGAAGATCGAATTAGCAGATTGAATCAAAATCTCTTGCTTCCTCCTACTGCAACTTGAAATGTATGTTTCTTTTCCCATGTGGTTCTTTCAATCCACTTGTTACCAACTGTGAGCTGTTACCAACTGTTTGGGCAGTATCATTTTAATGCTATCCACCTAGAAGCACCATAAGAACAAAGCACTATTCATGCCCAGGACAATGCAAAGGACAAAAGTGACCAAAGTTTGTTGAATCCTAAAAGAGAAATGCTCAAAATAATAGAATCAAGATATAAGCAATGACTTCAGCTACCTTTAGCAGTATAAAGCAAGTTGGGTATACTCACACTGAAGAAGAGGCAAAACTAGTGTCCTCCACGAAGAGAGAGCCGGAGAAGGAGATGGTGGGTATCCATGCTTACGTGTTACTCAATTTCTTCAAACCAGCACTTCGTGTTTCATTTGCATTGTACTTGTGCTTAAGATTTGCAGTCCCTCTCAGAAAGATTCGAAAGATATTGACAATATACTGCAATAAGACAGCGTTAGTTTACTAAGAAAGTTTTGTTTATACCAAATATTAGAACAATAAATAGTATGGACAAATCCCAAGGAATATTACAAACAACTTATTTGTCTTATACTCACCAGTCTTTATTTATTTAAGCCACTTTTGATTTGTTTGCTAGATGCATAAACAAACAAAGCATGAAAGCAATATGGTAATAACACATATATATGGTTATTAATACGGAGTTGACAGAAGGAATAAAATGGTTTCTCATCAGCAAGGAACAACTTAACAGCTAAGTATATAAATTGAAATTAATAGTTTGAACAAGGTGGAACAAATTTTAGCAACTCTGCAGAAATCATTGTTTGACTTTTGCAAAATCTAAGTCTTCTATCTAACTTCTGATCACTAAAGACGGAACCGCGACAAAAAAGTTAAGGATGCACGGAAGGCCCATTGGTATATTCACAAGTTCACATAATGCATTCTGGAAGCGACATGCACAGGATACATTCTCCACCATGAGAAAATCCCCTGTGTACCCTTGAAAGTTCACCTAATCCCTTCTGTACCCCTGAATTTTGCTCAATCCCTTACATACCCCTGAATTTTAGTTTGGATCTCTTCCATACCCTTTCCACTAGTTGACCGTTAGTTGACCGTTAAATTCTTATGAAAAAGTCCATTTTGCCCTTTGGTATAAAGAAGCATATAAATTAATAGAGTATATTGTTGGAGCATAGAAATTTGTTATATGAGACTATTATGTTTATGAGATAGTTATGCACCATATTATTTGCGATAAATATACTTTTAGATATGACATAAAAAATTAATACTTATTTATTAGTTATTAAAAGATTTTTTTTAGCATGTGTTTTGAAGTAATAAACAAATCTGTTGTATTACTATGAAAACACATATGCTACATAAAAGAACTTTTAATAACTAATAATAAATAAGTATCAACTTTTTATATCATATGTAAAAGTAAATTTGTCACAAATAATATGGTGCATCACATACTCATAAATATAATAGTCCCATCCAATAAATTTTTACATTCCAACAATATACTTCATTAATTTATTATGTTTCTTCATAGCAAAGGGCAAAATGGACTTTTTCAAAAGAATTTAACGGTCAACTAACGGTCAACTAGCGGAAAGGGCATGGAAGGGATCCAAACTAAAATTCAGGGGTATGTAAGGGATTGAGCAAAATTCAGGGGTATAGAAGGGATTAGGTGAACTTTCATGGGTGCACAGGATACATTCTCCACCATTTAAGGGTTCCTTTGGAAGACAGAAACTATTCAGGAACTTTACATGAAGCAATTCATTTCCCGCATGGATCAGGAAATAAAGTCCCATGTTGCAGTGGTCATCTCAACAAAAAAAAAATCCATAATACCTCGTATTATACCCCCAAAAGCTACATAAACAGTACTGACACAGCTTTTACTCATATGCATTATATTCTGACATGATATATTTCAGATTTCAAAAGAATGCCCTTCGAATAGGGCTGGTGTGATCCGTACTACTTGGTTTATCATTTACAGAAGTGTTCTTTGTACCTAATACATTGAGCATCTACAAAGGAATAAACATATTATCTGGCAGTAAAATATGTACACAATGCAAAATAAATGAGATGAAAATAAGGAGTTCAATATTACTAAGTAACGGCTACACATATATTACAACAGAATATCAGGTAGTATGCACAATACGATTAGTATGATCATCTGATATAAAAACACAACAAATCAGTGTAATATGTAAAATGCAGCTGTGAAGCTAGCTGAATGCTAGAGGAATAGTGAAATCCACACAAAGTTAAGTAGTATACATAGACATTTTCTAGGAGAAAAGAGCACGATATTCTTTGGCTTCTTGGGCCATTTCTTCCATCGTTCTATCTTTTCTTTCAATATCCAGGTCTAATGTCTCGTTTTTTGCATTCATCTGTTATGAACAGAGAGATTATTCAGATTTATTTGATGGAGTATCAGATGAAGTGAGAGTTGTTCCAAGCAGCATCACTAACCATGCCATTATTGTTATCATTGTTCTCAAAATCTTCCTTCCTTCGGGGAACGATGTGAACGTGAACATGTGGAACTGTTTGGCCAGAGTGAGGTCCGTCCTGATAAGTAGCAATATTTATTCAACTTCATATCATACACAATAGAAGATAAAGTTAGTTTTCATTAGCTTTTACAACTTTTCATTAAAAAATGTTACGAACATACTAAATTGTGATCTGAAACCACAATTTTGTGAGCAACATCATACTTGTCATGCTCACACGAATTTTAGCTATAATATTTCTTAAATTCAAAGTGAAAGACCTCACAGGTACAAGATAAATCGAACCTGAATTGTGAATGTGAGCGAAGAAGCCCTCTGGTACTGCTCAACACGTACACCAATATCCTTTGCCATGATCCACAAATCACGAGTCTCATCAGGGCTAAGATCAGCAAATAGTTTCACAAGACTCTTTGGGCATATAAGAACATGTATAATTTAAGTTAAGGAAGGGGGTGGGGGGGGGAGTTAAAAGTCTTAGGCTGTCAAAAATGCAGTGCCACATACAATCCATCATAGGACAAAGGCAACAAGAGCTGAGTTGCCAGTTGTCACCAGGGATTAACTGAAGTAATTAGCACGACCAGAAATTAACAAGGTAAAGCAGGTAGTATTAATTGTCTTGAAATAGAAAGCACAATAACCCTTCTGAAGGCAAAAACAAGTGAGCACTGTGATGTACACCACTACCATTTTTCAATGAACCGATATCGTACATTACTTATGTAGTTCAGTGCAGAGTCTTTCTTTCTTTCCTTTTTTTTTCTTTTTGAAACAGAGGCACATTTCATTGATGAATAGCAAGAGAAGTTTTTTTTTTTTGCAAATAATAATAATAATAATAATAATAATAATAATAATAATAATAATAATAATAATAATAATAATAATAATAATAATAATAAAGTATGAGAAGTTGAGAGCAGATAATACCGCAATGTGAAGTAGATACTAGAAGGCACTAAATTAGAGAGAGGAGTAGAGCAGCTGTGCATACACATAATTGGCAGAAATAAAGGATATGACCTGCAGGGACAAGATTGGAATAGAATGATGAACAAACAAAGAAGGAGAGAGCAATCAGGAATGATAGATTTGTTCTGAGGAGAGGAGAGGAGAGGAGAGGAGAGGAAATAGCTAGGTACCAGGGCGGGTGGGTCGGAGGTTGACGATGGCGAAGGAGAGGGGCGAGGTGCGGAACACCTGCCGCTCGGCTATCTCGTGCGGACCAAACCTGTACCTGCTTCCCGCGACCGGATCCATCTCCTTTTCCCCTCTTCTTGGACGGCGACGGCGATGGAGAGGGAGAAGAGGAAGCAGCAGAGAAGCAGCTGAGTTGCGTTGGGTCTAATTAATTGTCAATGGTTGTGGAACTGAGGGGCCGGGTCAAGTCAAGTCAATGATCTTGATGGGCTCCCCTCCCACGGTAGAAGCCAGGCAAGCCCATCAGAAATACTACGTACTATTCAAATCAGGCCCATTAATTGTTGTCACTTTCTCTATCTGAATTGGTCAGCCTGCTTGTGCTTTGAATAAGTAGTAGGGCGATGCATGCATGCCAGCTCCTTCACGCTAAGCCAAATCCCAATCCAACGTGCCCTGCACTATCTGTCCACACCTTCACTCCCATTCGTTCCTACTTGCAAAATTAAGCTGCATGTCCTTTTTTTTCGCCGGCCCATTTCAGCTGCTCTCACTCTCACGCATTAATAATTAACCCAATCTGCAGACTGCAGTGCAGGCAAAGCTAGGCAGCCACGTACGTCCATACGTTGCGTTGCTCATCGATTGATCGATCGATTAGCCATCTAATTGGCAAAACCAAATCTTGATTATTTGCTAGCTTCCCCTAGCTAACATAAGCTATAGCCTATAGCTTCCTCCCTCCCTCTCAAACTAGCTTAGTTACTTCCACCAGCCTCATCAAGCTATAGCTAGCATGAGAAGGATACAGATACACCCCTCACATGGCGGCGGCGGCGGCACCGGCGGCCGTGCACGTCGTCAGGCGGCAGATCAGCCGGTGGTGTACACGGTGTGGAAGAGGTCCAGCATAGGCTTTCAGGGCACCGACGGCTTCTCCGTCTACGACTCCGCCGGCAAGCTCGCCTTCCGTGTCGACAACTACTCCCGCCGCCGCAAAGCTTTCGCCGGCGACCTGCTGCTCATGGATGGCCACGGCACGCCTCTTCTCTCTCTCAGGCCACAGGTCGATCACCTTCTCATTCACTTCATTACTTCTTCTCTAGCTCTACTCGTATACGTATATTATATCGCTTTAGCAGCGACCTGTTTACTGATCGATCAGTTTAGTTTGCTAGTTTGGAATCATGTATATATCTTAAGATAGGTTGGGACTTGGGACTAGCGCGTCTTTAATTCTCTTTCATTCATTTCTCACTTTAAGTCTTTCCTATCATAATCTATAGACGATGGCCGTGTGCTTACTGCTTCTGCTTTGCTTTCAGTCCAAAAATTTAGGGTACTTAGATAAAGAAATTTCAGGGTATACTTATTAGCTGCAAGATTTATATAATCTATCAAACTAACAAGATCCCTATTATATACATGCGCATCAAGTTTAAATTCTCAACTTAAAAGATTCAGTCTTATTATTTGTTGCTTTGATCAAAGCTTTGCTGTTATATTAATCATGCAGCCAAACATGCATTACCTATTCGAGGCTGGAATCCAACCGTTGGATTTACTTTTGCTTAATCTCCTATGTATAAAATTATCGCTTTGCTTCCTTGTTTCCGTTCTCTGATGATTTGATTAAAAAAATCCAGTTGTTTGAGTACTCCAAGTCTCAACCGACAAATTCTACTGTACTCATAATCGTCCTAATTAACTCTTAAAAATCTTTTATGATAGATATTGACCAGTCAAAACAAAGGAAAAAAAATCTATACTAGTATGTTCCATGCGTCATTCTCTATAATAATTGAAAGATATTGTACTACTGATAAAAACATTTAATTAATTTTAGTCTATTGAGTAGGCCGACATGTCCAAGCAAAATGTAACCAAATCCAAAAACAAGCAAACAAAATGCTTGTATCATAATAACATGTTATATATTGTTTTTCAACCTTTATGTGCTTCACATTAGATCTCTCCATTTGCAACTTGCAATTTTCAGTTAAGTGACAAAGAAGTAATAAAAGAAACATGATCTGCATGATTCGTTGTCAACTTTTCTTCAGCCGCTATTTTTGAACTAAGCAATGTAAAAAACAGATAATCAGCGTAAATTAAAAACTAATCTTCATTGCTCTAATGTGACAGATTCTCAGCCTGCACAATCGATGGAACTGTTACAGAGCACAAGAGGAAGAAGGCTTGGACAGCACAAGTTCTCCTTCAGTGTCACAGCAGCAAGTCTTCTCCATGAGGAAGAGCTCAGCTCTGCAGAGCAACGATGAAGCAGAAGTTTTCATGTCAACAAGAACAAGTGGTGACAGCCAACCTGATGCTTCTCCCAGCCCCAGCTTCAGAATCGACGGCTGCTTCTCCATGAGGAGCTGCAAGATCCGCGGCAGCAACGGCGAGGAGGCGGCGCGGATCACGAGGAAGAACGCCGGCGTGATGTCCAGACCGGTCAGTCTCGGCGACGACGTGTTCACCCTCGTCGTCAGGCCAGGCGTCGATGTTGCGGTCGTCATGGCTATGGTCGTTGTCATGGACCGTATCTGCCGGAGGCCCTACACACCAATGGCGTGTTCATCATCTGGAAATTCAGTAGTTCATAGTGGAGAAATCATCAAATCCAAGGAAAAATACCATCTAAACCGCAGTAGTAGTAGTTTGCTGTAAATTTTATATATTGCAGCTGAGATGTAACTAAGGTTGTGCTAAATTTTGTGTATTTGCAACTATTTCACATGAAGAAAATTTGCGAAAAGTTCAGGCTTTATAAAGAGTACATAATGTGAGTATGTGACCTCAGAGTGCACATTTCTAGCAAGAGAACGACAAGCACTTGCTATTCTGAGTGGATACCTGAGGCACTATATTTTTTGCCGAAAGAACTACTTTTGCATTTGCAGATGAGAATCTCCTGCTGATGGAGATGAAGCATGCATACTACCTAGGAGTATATATTCCAGCGAATATTTGCAACAACGTACTCAACACAACAATAGCCTCTAAGCAGCAGAGACAACCAGTGGTTGGTATGCAAGCCAAGCAAACCAGGTCACACGACTACGACAGAAGCTTACTTGGTGTTGATTACCTAGTACACCGGCAACAATCCCAGCCAACAAGTGAGGGGCTCCAGATAGCTTACCGTTACCAAATCCTCAGGTCTGGTGCAACAGTCACATCCCACTTCAGAACACAACCAGCCAAATTGCCAATCAAATTGTTCTTTACCACTTGTCAAAGGTAGCTACAGGCGTATCAAAATTGCAACTTATGGCATATATGCATAATCAATAATTCTGTTCAGTGCATCTTATCATCTCAATGGCCCTCTTGATAGCAAGCATGATGCAAAGATGAAAATGACCAAAAGTGCTCAAGTCCCAGAAAAAAAATCAGCAAAAAGAGATTAAGATCTAACCAGTTATTTGAGCTATCTTCCAGAATGTATATGCGTAAAGCAAGCACAAGAGTTAACAATGGAGACTAATCAAAATCAGAGCCTCTTATGTTCTAATAACATTAGATTAAATGGGATTGATGGAACAGTCCCTTAACCAAAGAAAAGTTCACAGGAGGCAAAAACAAGCAGCAAAAAGGGTAAAAACCATGGTTCATGTTTTTCAGAAACATAAAGACTACACTACACAATGATACAAAATTAAAGTAGTATTTTCATGGTTCAATCAGATCATTAAAGTTTTCATGATCTTATCAGAAAAGTGCGCCAGAATGATATAAAGTTTAGCCAGGATTACAGCCATTGGCCACAAATTGCCAGAATTATTGTATTAATGAGTCAGGTTAACTTTTCGAATGTTGGCTAGATGCATAGACTAACAGTAATGGTAGATTTCATGGACAGTCGGCAGAAGGAATAAAAACTTTGAGTCGGCACAAAGAGCTAGATAGAAAGTTGAGTCATGATCCATCCTGTCTAACAAACTTTCAGCTACTATGCCTTGTCGAATTTCTGGCTTTTCTCACAACAAAACATGCCAAAAACAGAATTTATCGCAGCAATCTGCATAAGCATAAGAGAACAAACTTTCTAACTAGCATGATCAAAGGAACAAAATACTGTGTCTGAATAACTAAAGAGCAACGGAAATCTCAAGAAAAGTCAATTTTTCAGCTGAAACTAAATGCAATGGGTTGATAGCATGGATTGCAACTCTGTTTGATCCAAAAGACCAAAAGAATGATCCTTCTTTCTTTTAAGCAGGCTTTCAAATAGGTACTGAAAGGTTATACGATGGGTTTTGTTACTATTTGTAGATTGTGAAACCATAGTATGACCCAACCAGCTACTGATAATATATGGCTGTGTAATTTCATGTGGTACAGGGACATCTGTCATAAAAATATAAATTTTCCAACAAACAACTACTGCCACACGGTGGCATAACTAGTTCCAAAGATAAAGATTTATAAGTAAGAACACATTTTACAACAAACAAGTATCACACCAAATTAGATAATTTCATAATATTATTCGAAGACTTGAATTCCCATGATGGATGACAAACAGTTACAAAAATAATTTCTGGAGAAGAGAGTGCAATTTAGAGACAGTTTACAAGAAAGTTATCGCAAAAATACATCTAAGAGAAGAGAGCACGGTACTCATTGGCCTCATGAGCCATTTCTTCCATGGTTCTATCTTTTCTCTCTATGTCCAGATCAAGTTTCTCCTTCAATTCCCTCTCTTTGACATCAATCTATTAGAAAGCAAACAAGTAAGAATTTTGTGGTAAATATTGGGTTGAAGTATTGGATAAAAGGAGGTCGATTGAGAAAAATGCCACAAACCGCATCATATATCTCATCATTTTTCTCAAAATCTCCTTTCTTTCTAGGGATGACATGGATGTGGACATGTGAAACAGTTTGACCAGCTTCTGGACCATCCTGTAAGCACTGGAACTAATGAGTAAATAGCTTAATATTATTATATAAGAAAATAATTCAAGACAGACATGCAAAGTTATATCTAGGGTAAATGATAAAAAGGAAGTTAAGAATACTTGTATGGGGAAACGAATTCTTTTTTATTCTACACACAATAAGATCATCATATTTAGGACGCAATAAGCAAAACCCATATGGTACTCCTCTTGATGGTATGATTAAACATTGAAATAATTAAAATACAAACTCCTGCTAACCGCAGTGGCATAAATACATAGACCTTACCTGAATAGCAAATGTAAGTGAAGACGCTTTGTGGTACTGCTCAAGCCGTACACCAACTTCCTTTGCGGTAACCCATAAGTCACTAGTCTCATTAGAACTTAGATCAGCAAATCGTTTCACTTCACGCTTGGGGCACACTAGAACATTTATATATTGTTAAGGGAAAACAACATATAAGATATATCATATTCTCAATATACCACAGTAGAAATCAAAAGAAGATGGTTAACCAATAAATTTATGGAAGATTTGCTCGACACGGCAGTACAATTGACAGTTACTCCATATCAATCACAACCAAGTAGCAGATAAATACTACATATGGACATCATCTCATGGTAAAGATGACATCCTCTAAGATGATCAATCAAGTAAGATGACATGTGGCAAAATAAACACCTACATCACCTCTTCAGCCAATCCACAAAATTGTCCTTAAGCCAGACTTGATATTTGTCAAGTATAGAAGAAGGGTAAACCAACACAATCCTTTCATGAATAAATAAATTCCACAGGTCCATTTATTTACTATTAATTTGAATGCATTGATGAAACTTTACCCAAACACAAGCCAGCAAAAGCAAGCTCATTTTATCGACGACCCCAACAGAACTAGCTAGCAGTGCATGCACGTGAAAGAAATCAACTGTGATTCTGTAAATATCTCCAAAACAGCGTTTTGCAGAAAAAGTAGCAGTCTCTTTTGGTGCAATTGAAGGATATGACCTGCACAATAAGGAACGGTATGGTTAAGAAAGAATAGCAGAATATGAACCAACCAATATATAGCAATAGGAATTAAATGCATGCAGCAACAGCAAGGTCAAAGTTGACGGAATCGCATATGGTATAGTGGTGAAATGGTACTGTATTAAGGTGAATCTGTTAGGTAGAAGAAGAGATCAATTGCAGAAAAACACTACTATATGTGAACAGACTACTCCCTCCGTTTCACAATGTAAGTTATTCTAGCATTTCTCACATTTATATTGATGTTAATGAATTTAGACATATATACCTATCTAGATTCATTAACATCAATATGAATGTGGGAAATACTAAAAATGACTTACATTGTGAAACGGAGGAAGTAGCTAGTATCTGCGTGTACATTGTGCTTGTTAAGCGTGTTCAAGAAAACAAAAACGTGCTTGTTAGCATTTGGCAGGTACCGTATGATTCGCGAACTGGTCATCAAACAAATTAGCAATGGCAAGCTACAAAACCCGTCTCTGTAATTTCCGCTACAAATTTTGGGACTGTACTATGGTACTACTCCTACTGAGCAAGGGGAACGGAGGCGGCTGGAGGGAATAAAGCGATCAAGTGGTAAAACTGGGCAAGGGGAAGTGAGGAGGTTATTACCAGGGAGGAGTGGGCGGAGGTTGACCATGGCGTAGGAGAGCGGGGTGGAGTGGAACACCTCCCTCGCGTCGATCTTGTACGGCCCGAACTTGTAAGCCGCCTCCATCTCCTGGACCGGCGGCGGCGAGGAAGAGGAGGAGATGGCTCGCGGCAGAAGCAGTGGACGACGGCGAAGAAGGGTAGGAGGCGGAGGCGGAGCGAGAGGGAGAGGGAGAAGGGAGAAGGGAGTGGGCGCGCGGCGGAGGACGGCGGAGAGCGCCGGAAGCATCAGCTGCCGTCTCGTCGGCGAACGAATCGACGGAGGAGAGGAAAGCAATGTAGAGTTGTTCTGGGCCTAAAATTAAGGTGGGCCTGCATTTTTACGGCCCATCTGAGCCCATGTTGTTGTCTGGACCGGTCCAAAGCTGAGTGGTGCTAATACTCCTACTTTAGCCCTCTTTGTTTAGACTTAGACTTATTGGATTAGACTTTTAAGTCAGCTTATTGGCTTATATGATTTATAAGCCGGTGGATTTAATGTCCTAAGTTTAGTGGTAGAGTCATACATCAACCTCACATAAGCCAAAAAAGCTTCTCCAACCTAGCATTTGGCTTAATAGTGTTAGAGTGGCTTATGGCTTCAAAAAAACCAAACAAATAAGCTGCTTGTTTGTTTAGGCTTACACCTTTTGGCTTATAAGTTGACCTATAAGCCTAAACAAATAGGGCCTTCAAATAGGCTCACCCAAAAAAAAATGCACCGTGATGAAAATGTAATCATGTCAGGTTGACTTGCTGAAAAAAGTGAAGTGGATAGAGTGATGAGAGTGGATGAACTAAATAATCATTTTGACTTTTGCTCTGACCAAAATCATTAAACTAAGAGTATACATATATGGAGCTAGCCAGCATCCACTGCCTGAACGAATAGGAGTTGTCATGCAAATCCACTGCAAATTTAAGTGAAGTGATGATCGATCATGTGCGTACTTTCTAAAGTAGTTTGTGTCATGGATATGAATATGATGCATGCACCTGTGACCGAAAAGCTACCTTCACTTTGCAGGCATATATTGGCATTGTTTGGTGACTTGACATTAAACAAGTTGCTGCATGCTCATCAGCTTTGAAGGAGTAAGAGATAAGTCAATCTACAAAGGTGTTTATACATATATTTTTGTTTATCTTCAATTGTTCATGGTAGTGCTTGCTGCGTAGGTTTTGCAATGATCGCCTGATTATTATTAATCTATCTATGTACTCTCTCTCTCTCTCTCTCACTACCTACTTGCACGGATCAATCGCTGTTTGACTTCATTTGATGAGATAATACTAATGAACTAGTGCAAGATAGTGTTCAGTCAACAGCAATGGAGATAATACTATTTTTATGACCTTGTTCAAAGGTTTGTAATTTTCCATTAAGCTAGTGTTTACAAAGCAAACCACTATATATGTGCACTTGTTACTTAGAGCAATCTAGCTAGCTAGTGTTATCATATCATATTCCAAAATCCTTAAATCAGGTTAGATACAACAGAAACAAAAACAAATTCAGAAAGCTGCCAGCACAACAACCACAATTATTTTTTACTAGCTACGATCAGTTGTGTTATCCAAACCAAAGTACTAGTATAACATTTCAGGCTTTCAGCATATATATGCTTGCTACACCTGTATCCCCATTTTTGCCCTGAAACAAACAGGAAGTACTAAACATGATAGTATGGCTTCTAGCCTAATTGCACTGTAATCGGAATGATAGGGGTGAACTGTGCAAGCACATGTACGTAGCATGTAGTAGCAATATAACCTGAAAGTTGTGGAAAAGCTATATATTGGGACATTGCAGCTTCACTGCCACTACTGATCGATCATCACAACCGAAAAAGAAAAGATTTTGCTGGATATTTAACTATATACACTCAGCTAAGCTGGAGTGACCACATGGGCCAGTTTGGATGGTGTGCTTTTGATGATGTTATGTATTCCCTCCCAAACCTGCAAGCTGCATGCATGCCTATTCTGTGTCTTAAGCACCTTGGACAAGCAACTAATTGAACAGCTCGCACAGAGCAATCGGCAATTGCAACATTCCAAATTAGGCCTGGTTTAGTTCCAACTTTTTCTTTAAACTTTCAACTTTTTCATCACATCAAAACTTTTCTACATACACAAACTTCCAACTTTTCCGTCACATCATTCCAATTTTAACTAAACTTCTAATTTTGACGTGAACTAAACACACCCATATCAACAATGAATCAAAGTTGTCCATATGCATGCATGACCTAGAAAATGCCAAGATCTCTGCAAGAGACAGCCCCCGTGCAGTCCAAAATCAATCTAGCTTTAAGCTACAGTTAGAGTTTGGGTTAATTTGTTTGGTAGCGAAATATCATTCGACCATGACATGCATGTGGCGAACCATGCATATGCAGTTTGCAAAAAAGATAGCTACATAGCGTGGATGGAATACTTCAAAAGCATATCAAAACGATACGATATGCATGGTGTTTCAGTACTACAATCTTTCAAGAGGAAAAACAAAAACTTCATGTGGGGGCAGGGAGCTGCAGATGCGTGCCTCTTCACTTCCAGAGAAAACTAATGGTATGTCAGTTTTAGGAGCTAATACACACTGCCATTACATGTGTTATGATAAGGATTTTAAGCCGTTTGCGAAGACAATTTAGGTACTGCTCCCTCTAGGTTAATACTAATACTTATTGTTTTGAGAGAAAAACACGGTCTAAAACACAACTTCAGTCACTGTTTTATATTATAATCTATATAGAAAAATTATTAAATATATGATTTTATATATGATGTTATTATAATATACCTAGTCTTCATATTTATAAGATAAATATTTTAAAAATTATTTATAGTTAAAAAAATTTATAATTTGATACCAAACTCATTCAAAACAATAAATATCACTCTCTCCGTCCTAAAATATAAGAATCTAGTATCAGATATAATATTTTCTAGTACTACGAATCTATATTAGAAAATATCCCATCTAGTTTTACGTTTTTTTATATTTTGAGATAAAGGGAGTATCAACGAGAGATGTATGCTTAGCAAAGCACATGACTTGAGTGATCAGACACACATGAACGAAATTGTTAGGTAACTGTCTCCATCTTTGCCTTCAACACAGGCATGCAGCCAGTGTATAGAAGGAGAAGAACCCTGCTTTTGCCCCCCTTGCAGAGGAACAAGCTATCCAGGATATACTATTGTCGAACTCCATTCCAATGTCTACCCACTAGTATATGTTAACTGGATCATATCGAGAAGGCAATTAGTTAACATACTGCCAAGAGTTGCACATGCATACTTCATATATACACCTTCTGGTTACTTCATGTGTCTGAGTTCTCTGAATTTGCTTAACCCATACATATCATTGGACTCCGGTTAATTACCTCGAACTTTGTAGCCACCCCACCCCTTGCATCGATCCGCATCTGGTATTTATAAGATTTAGGGTTTATTCGGATCAGAGTAATTTCACAGGATTTTTGGAGGAATACTGTACATAGGAATTTTTTCCTTTTTTTTATTCGGATCATGAAAACTGGTTGTAAGAAATCCAAAGTAAAGTTTCCTTTGATGCTGATTTCACAGGAAAAGTACAGGAAAAATCCATCCACCTTGAGCTCATTTTTTGCTTCCTGCATGCAAATCCTAGGCAATCAATTTCCTGTGATCCGAATGCTATCAACTTTTGTATTCCTTTGTTATTCATTCCTCTGTTTTACACTTAGGGCCTCTTTGAATCGCATGATTGAGAAAACGTAGGAATAGGAAAAACGTAGGATTTTGATAGGAATGTAAGTGTAAAACAGAGGATTGTAAAACACAGGAAAAACACAGGAATTGGATGAGAGATATAGACTCAAAGGAAAATTAGCAAGAGGTTGAAGCTCTTGTTAAATTTCCTCCAAAATCTCTATAGGATTGTCCATTCTATAGGAATTTCAAAGGATTAGATAGGATTCAATCCTTTGATTCAAAGGGCTTCATAGGAAATTTTCCTATAGGATTGAAATCCTCTAAAATTCGTATGTTTTTCCTCCAAATCAAAGGGGCCCTTAGATTCCTTTCATATTCCTATACTTTTCCTATCTATGTTTTTCCTATCCTATAATCCGAACAAGCCCTTAATGTCTATACATACAAAATGAGTATATATGTTGCACCGATCAAGCATGTAAGGCATATATTGTAAAATCAAAGGTGTTTTTTATTATTATTTTGTGATGAACAATTGGCATTGGAGATTATCAGTTTAGATATTTGGAATTTATTTGCGAAGTGGTTTTGGAGATGATTGGATTTCATAGGTGATATACAGGTACTGTGCTGGATTGGGTACGGTCACACCGGGCACGGGTTGCCGGTCAGACCGGCGTGTATCTCGCGGTCAGACCGGCGTAGCCCACGGTATGACCGGCCGACTCTGTGTCAGTTTCGGTTTCGGGTTGTTTGTTTGGATATCCGTGATTGTTTCATGATTATGACTTCTAGACGGATATTATGTGTATGAATATTATCGTTTGCTACTAATGAGTCAAGTTGGGGATAGCTTGGTCTCGGAATATGGTTTCTTTCTTTGTTCTATGTGTAGGTGACTCGAGATGTCGGGAGAGTATTTGCGGTGATGGACCGGGAGTCGGCTTGGGGATAAGACGACGTCCGTAGTGGTCAGAGATCATGCGGGATACTAAGGCTAGAGTTCAATACACGTGGTTGGTGAAGATTCCATATGGCATACGATGGAGGTATTGTGTGTGAATGGGATGCAGAGTCGAATTTGGAAGGAGTCCAAATTTGGTATGATTGGTTATGTAAAGTTTGTTTCTTGTACTAGAGGGTTTCCTAGGGTGATTAGGACTTCTAGTATGAGTTTGGTTCGTGGCTTTAGGCTGCCTATCTCGGGTATAAATAGAGGGGGAGTGTGAGGCTTCCCAGTATCGCTTTTGAGAGCAATTGAGTTGATAGTTGAGTTAGGGTTTCGAGTTTAGTCGAAATTTTTATAAGGAGTGTTGTTGGTGCACTTTGTAAACCCAGAGAGAATCGATAAAGTCGTCATCCACTTTAAGAGTTCTTCGATTTGTGTTTCACCGGGTTTCGGCGATCTAACCGGCGGCGCACCGGCGGTCAGACCAGCGGCATTGCGCCGGTTAGACCGGCGTCTACGACAGGCGACAGGAGCTGATCTCGGCGGTCAAACCGGAGATACAATCTCGGTCAGACTGACGGCAACCAGGCGATCAGACCGGCACATCTACTTCGGTCATATCGCGATCCGTTGAATTTGAGGTAACTTTTATTTCCGAGTTTCGGTTTTTGGGTATACCAACCATTCACCACTCTCTGGTTGGCTTAGTTGTTCTGATTCGATATATATATATATATATATATATATATGCTCATAGCAACAGCGACAGATGCTAGTGACCATAGTATATCTCACACGAACAAATTAGTAAGGTATATACGGGCAAACATACTCAACCGATTAACGCTAGTGGAAATATAGGCATCAGCAGTTTATAAAGAAGAATAAATAATTGTACGCGTTATTTTACTATCTATATTCTCAGGAATAGATGAATAGTACATGATAGAATAGTTCTCATTTGCCCACCAGTACTGCAAGTGACTCTGACTACACAATATGTCAATTGTCAATATTCTTCCAAATGCATGTAATAGTCTTTAGAGGTTTTCTTTCGTCCTTGAGAGGTATATACCTCTCATTGTCTGAGAGCTAAAAAAAAATAAACCATTAAAAAGCAAGTTTATGATTGGCAATACCAATAATTTTCTTTTATCGTCACCTTATAGTATATTTGTTCATAGGTCAGAGATATATGAGTAATTTTACGGTCCTTGAGAAGATACCTAGATGGAGTCATAGAGTATATAGTGAAAAGCAAGTAGGCTATGTTCGATTTAGATGTTAGAGCAATTATAGCCCTATGGCTTACCGGAGAAGACACTCCATTACTGCATAATTAATATATATAGACATTTAAAATATATTGTTTTTACAAAAAAAATAAAGAATAAAAAGTTTTTTAAAAGAAAATCGTACTCCCTTCATCTCATTTTAAGTACAGCCATGATTTTCCGTGTACAATTTTACCCGTCCGTCTTATTTGAAATTTTTTTAAAAAAAATAAGATTCATGTTTTATCATCTCATAACAGTAAAAATACTAATTATAAAAAAATTAAATAAGACGAATAATCAAAGTTAAACACGAAAATTTATTATTGCACTTTGAATAGGATGGAGAGAGTACTATTTAGCATTTAAAAACGTGCATGTCTACGATAATATGGTAGTTCAGAAGCGAAAAGAACATATATGGCTGGTTGGCTGGCTGGCTAGCTTATTAACCATACGTACGTGTTTCGTGGACAATATCCATAAGGCTCACATGGTTATTTTAGATGTAGAATATTCTGATCTAGTAGCTACTTGTGTGAACTATTCAATTGTTCCAAAGTATAGGATGTCCCCGGCATATCTCCCTGAATCATTTCATCTGAATCAAAGTGAATTATTTTGCCAGCATATGCCGGACCAGCTGCTAGCTGATCATGAAGCATTTGTTCTAGCTAGCTCCACCGTGCATCTTCCAAGATTTATTTTGTGCGCATCTTAGCCAAAGAATTAGGATGAATGTCGTTTGTTGCAAGGACTTGGATACATCCGAAAGAATAGTTACACCTTTTCCCCACCTACAAATCTTGACGAGCTAATCATATTTTGGGAAAAAAAGAAGCGTTGATCACTTGGGAATATCTGTTTTTAGTTTCCAGTACTCTAGCTTCATCCATATCAATTTTCATGTGAAAATACTACCTCACACGTGTGATTTAAGAGAATAAATCACGTTAATGTCTAATTAACTTTCAAATCAATCCGTTTCAAGATTTGTGCTTCACAACCTTTTGCAGCACCAGCAAACTCTAACGAGCTAATTGGAGGTGTTCCCTTGCTTAGATAAATATCCTGTATAATGGCAGCTCACTAGTGTGGGCCAGTTTGGGCCCGCTGACAATGAGGGAAGCTCTCGCCGTCTTTCGAGTGGTTAGGAGGTGTGGTGACGGATCCGGCAGCGGGAACGACGAAGGAGGATGAAGATACGATCAATGAAGTCCGAGAATATGGAAGATGAGGGTTAGGAGAGAGAATGGAAGGTGAAGGCGGATTTTGTGGCTCCATAAGGGTGGTTGCATGGGAACACCAGCTGATGATGATGGAGAAGATGGCAGAGGGGTGACTTATTATTTTTCTTAAGAAGGGAGAGGGATTACGCAATGTATAGATTGTTCTTTTTTTTTTATCCATGTTTTACTGTACATATATACATACAAGTCTTATCATAAGTCTACGTCACATTAATAAAACTTGGGTATAGAGCATAGATCAGTATATTTATTGAAAGAAAAACATTCGAAAATACAACTATATAATCAGTGCTACCAAAATTTGTCTAGATGGGTTTAAATATAAACATATCCTATATATACAAGTCGTCATATGTACATACCATGCATATCAACTAATAAATATCATAAAAAATTATACATGCATGTAATTTCAATATAATATATAGTATTACATCTACGTGTAAATTCCCATCTTTAAATTCATCGTACATAGAGAACAGCAAAATAAACAAAACTGACATATTTAGTCTTAAAAATATCAGAATTTTTAATCATGGCTAAAATATAATGAATTTAAGATTAAGACTTTAGATGTAACACTATTGAAGTATTTCTTCTTTATTTTTTGACATTTGTTAGTTAGTTTACACGTGAAACTAATATACACATGATGTGTTTCCGGTTTAAATATGGTCATTTGTACAAATAAAGGTAGATCTTAATCGGCAACGAGAATGAAGATTAGAAGGTCTAAATATAAATTAGTACAAATTATGTGCTTAGCGAATAGCAATTAATTAAGAGAAATCAACATGTTATCAGAATATAGCAATATATTTGTAAAGGCTTAAAAGATTATATTTAATTAGAGATGTCGAATTGAGTACGTAGTATGTGGGAGATGTAGTTTGACAAGCCGGTGCTTTGGTATTTTTGGCAGTAGGTCATTCAATTATTATAGCTTTACATGCTCTTTAACACCTTAGAAGACTGTGGGGGAATAACTTTGAGTTGATTGTAGAAGTAAAAGTGGATTAAGTCGGTGTGTGGCTAAGTCTTAGCTAGGCATGCAAAGAATATGTTCGTCCACCGCCGCCTATGACGCATATATCCATCCTGATCTTGCCGCTGCCCCATGCGTCCAACCGAGAAAACCGGCTCCTTAAACCTTAAACAAAAGATTAAAAACCGGTAGAGATATGCAAATAAAATCATCAGTCAGAGAAAAAAATTTGTGCTAGTCAAGTGTGGTGATGAGGTTAGTTTGTCGTGACCGCAAGACTTCTATCGTGACTTCGATACATTTTGATCTTGTTTCTGGGAGATAGAATATACGTGTAAAACTGCTAAAAAATTAGTGTACGTTTCCGGGTAAAAAGTTTTAAATATAAATATAATATACTGTAATGTAATTACAATATAACTACATTGTAATCTCTAATGAATAAAATTATATATTTTTCAGTACTTACATACAAACAAGTTACTTCGTATATTATAAGTTAATTATATACTATAGAATTATCATTCCGATCCCTAATTACCACGATCCATTCAGATCCTACGTGGCGCTCGCGCGTTGCATGCCACATGGAAACAACAGTTTATATATAAACTTCAAACAATATGTTTTTATTTGATATTGTTAAAAATAGATTATTACAAATTTTAAAAATAGATTGATTGATATTTTAAATTAACTTTATATACAAGCTAAAATCTGCATCTGATGTACACGCAGATGAAGATGCGCCGGCACCCAATCCCACCACAGCGAATTAAGCGGATCCAAAGCTAATAATACTCGATCCGCTGTTAGTGTTAGCCGCGGGCGCAGCATTTGTCTGCATCGTTCGATCGGTTTCGGCTTCATTCATTCATGTGCTCCCCCCTCCCCGCCCACGCACTAGCGGCTGCCGTCCACGCACAAACCACGTAAGCACGCACCACCTCGCGCGGTATAAATTCCCCGCGCCCTCCACTCATTCCATTCCCCAACCCCAACCATTCCTATTTCTAAACAACACACCTCCTCTGCACTTGCTCCTTCTCTTCTTCTGTCCATCGAATCGACAAGAAGAAATTTACAAGCAAGAATGGCCGCCAAGGTGCATCCTAACGTCGCCGCCGCGCCACAGCCACCCTGCATTAGCAGCATCGTCTCCCAACAACAAGAAGAAGAGGAGCCCCCGGTGGTGCTCACGGTGTGGCGCAAGTCTCTCCTCTTCAACTGCCACGGCTTCACCGTCTTCGACGCCAAGGGCAACCTCGCCTTCCGCCTCGACTGCTACGACTCCACCAGCTCAAGGCGCGCCGACCTCGTCCTCATGGACGCCGCCGGCAAGCCGCTCCTCACCATCCGCCGCAAGAGGATGAGCCTCTCCGACAGCTGGATCATCTACGACGGCGACGGCGCCGCCACCTCCACCGCCACGCCGCTCCTCTCCGTGCGCCGCCGCCGCGTCGGCCTCCGCGCCTCCAAGTCCAAGGCCATCGCGCACGTCACGCCGCTCTCCTCCTCCCTGCCGCTCCCGGAGGCCTACGTGGTGGAGGGCTCGTACGGGCGCCGGAGCTGCGCGGTGCGCGACGCCCGCGGGGACGCCGTGGCGGAGGTGAGGCGGAAGGAGTCGGTCGGGGACGACGTGTTCCGCCTCGTGGCGCAGCCCCGCCTGGGCGCGCCGCTCGCCATGGCCATCGTCATCGCCATCGACGAGATGCTCCGCGGCGGCAGCTCATCGCTGCTGCGGAGGACATGCTCCGCGTAAGTCCAAAATTCTTCCTTCTGTACAGTAGAGACATTGAGCTCGCTGCAAGGGGATCAGAAGCTCGGGGTCCCACCTGTCAGCGACTCAGAAGCAGTGTTCCCGCAGCAGAGTCTAGCTAGATGCAGGGCACTAAACACCCAGAAAAGAAAAGCACAGGAATTATGACAAACTTATTAGAGTTGGTGCTGTATGCTACAATCAAGTTTTAGCTAGCTGCTGGGTTACTTAAGCATCATCCATGTTGATAGGAAATTAAGCAGGACTGATACAGTCAGGCTTGTGAAAGTAAAGCACAAGTAGGACAATACATATAGATACAGCCTAGTACAGGGGAGTTCTTTTTTTTTCTTCCCCGGATGTAATATTACAAAAGATTATTGTTTATTATTATATGGAGAAATGGAACTGCTTCTCCTTTTCCTTCCTTTTTTTTTAGTGATCTGTGTACACGGCTAGCCCATACAGCAGCATGTTCAGTGTGTGCGTGCTTGACCGTCTATCCGAGCGACGAGAGACCATTTCTGTGTTAATCAGATGTGAGTAGTAAACAGATCCTATCTCCAGCAATATTTTATTTTGTTTAGAAGTGAGAATCCTTATTATTAGGCGATTCTTCTGCTAGTATCATATTGCTACCCACTCTTTGATATGACACAGATCGATGATGGATGGAGCAGAGCTTAGCTTGGAAGTGCACAACCCTTGACAGAGATGAGTAACACACATTATAAACAACAGAACATTATTCAGCTGAACATACAAGATGTTAGCAGCTAACATGCACTTGACCTGCTACTGTTAGTCCCAGACTTGTGCCAGCTGATATTTCTTGAAATTAATCCCAGTTTGTTAATTTGTTTCAGGTCTCATTCACTGTGTTGTACTGTAGAGCCACTCGATCTGCCTTGTTCATCTCGCGGTGGAGCTAGTACTACCAACCGATCTAGAGTATCTATCACGTTTTAATCACCATTCATTCTTGTTTGAGACGATGAAAGAGAGAAAAGGCAGTAGATGCCTCAAGGACGACGGATCGAGGACATCCTTGTCGATGCTCTGTCCCAACTAGAGTAGCTTATAGCTCGATGAAGACACATGCATCTTTCTTCCGGCCGTGTGGTGTGGATGTGGTCCTTGATTTGTTTGCGCTAGAAATTCATCGCTTCCGCGTAATACAGTAGTACTACAGTATGAGAGCTAGATGGAAAATTAGACGAAATAATTTTGTCTATAGACTGTGCATGCAGCTGAGAAAATCAAACTCAACATCGTCATCATCTCATCGTACAGAGAGAAAAACAAACGCATGCAGTGTCCCCGCCCCCTTGCAAAACACAAAACACATGGACACGATGCAGACTGGTTTAACACAGAGTTATCCCTGGATATATAAAAAAAAAAAGGTTGGACCCAAAGAAGGACTTAGAGTCAATGGTTTTAGTAAGGAAGAGGTAAATATTTCCTGTGGTGAGCGCGCTCGACAAGGGTCGAACCCGGGCCAGCGGGGTGCATGCCAGCGACCCTGCCCTTGCGCTAATAGCGCATCTCTATCCCTGGATATATCAGTCTTTCAAGTGTAACTTTTGCTGACTGCAGATCGAGGGTGCTTAATTTCTTCATATCATTAAAGGGTAATTTCATGTGTAACTTTTTCTGGACATGTGCACTTCTTTTATTCAAGGGAAAGGGAAGGAACTCAGCCATTCAATATAATTACAGGAGGTGAAAAGAGCTTAGAACACTAGAGGAAAACACATTATTACAAGCTGAACAGCCAAGAAGCTGATGGAGCAGCTAGCACAACTAATTTGACGAGTGCTCCAAAGTGATTACTCTGGGGCTGGTGCTTGTCGTGCTTCTTCTCTCGCTTATAACAAACTTCTTTGCCAAATTTGCTACATCTTCAACCGTACCATAGACACTGTTGAATATCCTGCCATTTCGTTGCAACCAAATGCTCCAGATCGTTTCTTGTGCACTTTTTCAGACGATAAACAGAGAACTCTGCACTTTCTCAGCGCTTTCTACATGACGATGAACAGAGGATCGTGCACTTTTTCAGCGTTCGACTACTTGGTTTAGTTCTCGATCCATTCGTTTGATACATATACGTATGTTGTGGAGATTATGGATACCACATGTCCACACGGCATGTATATTCGACTGGGTATGGTGGTACCATATGTAGATAGAATATATTTAAGGGGCTCGAGTTATATTCTTAACCTGTGTATCAAGGAAATACTCGAGATTCTAGTCGGTTATGATTGTATTTTATCTTTACTTGCCTATTTTGCTAGGAATATGGGCTGTATGTTATAATACGGACTCCTCTCACTATATAAGGAGGGGTCCGGGTGCCTCTTGGGGCATAACTTTTCCCCCAGATCATACGATCAATAATACACTTGGTGGATCAATCCCTGTACATGAGTAGGGTATTACTTCTCATTGAGAGGGCCTAAACCTGTATAAAATTCATCGTCTCCAAACCCATCCACTTTTCATGCTTGATAGCCACCCCTTTTTGTATTGCCGAAATCTTGTTTCGACATATGTTGACTTGATTGGGATACTGATCTGGACTACTAATTCACAGGTCAGGCTTCAGAGGGAGTGCCATTCCAAGTTTCCAACAAGCCAACAATTACCACTGATCATACATAAACAGAGGCAGGAAATGACGGATTTGAGCGACGGCTAGCCCAGCTTTTTCATGCTGAAAATTTTAGGCGGATTCATCGAAGTACTTGCTGTACAGAAACATAATGGATGCATGAATGGCTGCTAGACTTAAATTTCTGTCTGCTCATTCAATCCAATATTGATCAGAGTGTCATTTTCAGTCCTGCTCCTGCATGCGCCACTGTACGTGCATCTGACCTTTGGCGAACTTTTGCGCTTTTAGCCGCCGAAATTGCCCAACTCTTTGAGAGAAAAAGTTCGGTTGCAATACGTTTTAAGGAGGGGCCAAAGTCATCTTCTTGTTATACTCGATCTGCTCATTTCATGTGCATGATTAGAACAAAAGCACGCGAACTGAACAATCAAGGAAGCTGCCATACAAATACGTACTACGGTACTAGTACGCGCCCTTCTGTAACTCCATTCTGAGTTTCAAGTCTTCAAAAAATTAAAGTGGCTTATAATATGAAACGAAGGGAGAGTACTAGTTACCATATTCATGTTTACATCTTCACTGATAATATATTTACATGCTTCTCCCTTCGTTTCACAATGTAAGTTATTTTAGCATTTTCCATATTTATATTGATGTTAATGAATCTAGACATGTGAGAAATGCTAAAATGACTTACATTGTAAAATAGAGGAAGTAGATGCTACGTACGAAGTACTCCTAAGTAAAAATCATCATGCTAGAGAAATACGTGATGTCGGTAATCCTGGTGGTGATATTCTCAAACCAGACATGTACAGTAAACTCAATAGTCAATACTATGGGTAAGGTATGGATTGAGATCCGGTAAGGTATGCATATTCTCGAACATGATCAGTCACTGCATATTCGATCGATCTCCTAATCAAGATGCATTAACAAGATAGGTTCGAAGACCATTTGCTGAAAACCTAAGCTAGATTGGTCCTTCTTGCATGATGATATCTTGAGAAATACTCCCTCTGTTTCGAAATGTTTGACACCGTTGACTTTTTAGCACATGTTTGACCATTCGTCTTATTCAAAAACTTTTGTGAGATATGTAAAATTATATGCCTACATAAAAATATATTTAACAACGAATCAAATGATAGGAAAAGAATTAATAATTAATTAAATTTTTTAAATAAGACAAATGGTAAAACATGTGATAAAAAGTCAACGGCGGTCAAACATTTCAAAACGGAGGGAGTACTAATAATCGTAACCATCCTTTTCCCTTGTGTTTTTTGCTGACTGGTTGTGCTCTTTAATTATCACTTTATGCGCACTTTTCTTTGACGCCTTCCACAATTAACATGCGCGCGCGATGGGTGGTTTTGTTTATATAGTACTCCACACTATTGTACCCGTATGATGGCAATACTAGTCTGACTAGTGTTTGCTCTTCATCTAGAATTGTTGTGTTTCTGTACAGTAGTATGCATGGAAAGCAAAGAAGTTGTGGAAATGCGGTCATATGCTTGGCTAGGAACTGAAGAGATAGCAATTGGGATGGTTGGTTTGGCGTCTAAATAAACCACAGCGTCCTGGAATTGTGAGTCATGCGTGATGCGTGATTCCTCCAGTACAGAGGAGAGAGCTGATCAAGGAAGATAACTCGAGACAAGCCAGTCAGCTAGGATACCTAATATTCCCTCTTGGGGCTCCTACAACGTATGGAGGAGGAGAAAAACGTGTCTTGTGATCTTAATTGCGCAGAGGAAGAACAAATTCACCTCCGCCTCCGCCGCCGCGCCGTGTCGAGGGATCCCGATTTATGGATGCAAATCGCTTTTTCGGATCGTGATTAATGGTACGGTGGCCCAAAGCATTCCAGGCCCTACTAGATAGTGGACTCAACATGGGCCGAAATATCGGGGGGGCCTCCGAAAGCCCATATACAATTGCCTTACCTGTCCCCACCTGTCACATGCCTCACGCAGCAGAGCTCAACTCAAGTCAAGGCGGCATTTCGAAATTCGAAAACACCAACGGTTTCAAATCCTCCTCACATCTTCTCTTCCCCCAAATCCCTCCTCCCCATCGCGGCTCCTCCTCCGGCAGCCAGCCATGGCCACGGTCACGCCGGGGGTGCTGCTCAAGCTGCTCCAGGCGATGCACACCGACGACCGCGTCGCCGGCGACCACCGCTCCCCCGTCCTCCAGGTCACCGCCGTCGTCCCCGCCCTCACCGCCTCCACCGCCGACTCCCTCTGGCCCTCCAACGGCTTCCTCCTCCAGCTCTCCGACGGCCTCCACTCCACCTACGTCCAGCCCTCCTCCGCCGACGCCGACGCCCTCGTCTCCGCGCGCCCGCAACTCGTCGGCCACCTCGTCCACCTCGACCGCCTCCGCTTCGCCCGCCCGGTGCCCCGCGCCGTCGGGATCCGCCCCGTCCCGTCCTCTCGCAGCGTCTCCTTCGTCGGCAACCCGGAGCCGCTCGTCGCCCGCCCCGCCGCGTGCTCCCGCGGCTACGTCATCCAGCCCGGGTCCCACTCCGACGCCGCGCCGCCGCTCATGCCATCCAGTTCCGGCAATGCGGCGCAGTCCGATGCAACGAATGCCATCAATAGGACGGTTCTCGCGCACAAGAACGTCCCCGAGGCCGCGCCGCCGCCCGCCGTTTCAGCCGCCAAGAGGCGGTTCTCGTCTCCGGCGCCGTCCAAGCAGCGAGATCCGTCGCCTTCGGTCAAGGGCGGCGCGTCACGGCCTTCGTCGCCCTCGGTGAAGGGCGCCTCCCGAGCGTCCTCACCTGCGGTCAGGGGCACGCCCAGG